CCTGCTCGAGCAAATCCATGAACAATGGGAGGACAGTGCTACACAGAGAGAGAGTGCAACAGCTAAGCCACATGCTTTGCACGCAGGAGGTTGGGTTTCACCCCCATCCCTGCATAGTTCCCCCAATAAACTCCCAGGTGCCGCACCAATCACAGTGTGACCCCCAGGCAAAAAATATAATATGCAAATTTGAATGGAAAGGGAGAATCCCTTGTTAGGATTGAAGGAAAGGGCTTTGATGGAAAAAGCTTGATCGGCTTCTTTGAGGAGACTCCAGGTCTCTGGGTCATTTTTTGATCAATAATGCAAGTGCTCCATGGTGGGAACTAAAGATCACATCATCTCCAGCATTTTTTTTTGGCTTTTTTTGGGGGGTCGCACGTGGCAATCCTCAGGGGTTACTCCTGGCTCTGCACTCAGGAGTTACTCTGGCAGTGCTCAGGAGACCATATGGGATGCCGGAGATCGAACCCAGGTCTGCCACATGCAAGGCAAAAGCCCTACCTGCTGTACTATCACTCCGGTCCCAGGGTCCAGCAGTTCTTAAATCTTCCCACTCACAAATTCTTCCTAGTCATGAAACAATAGCACAGGTGAGCGCTGCCAGAAATATCTAAGTTCCTTATGTAGTTGATTTTGAATTAATGCAGGGTCAGGTACATATGCACAGTGGAATATTACTCGGCCCTAAGAAAATATAAAATCACGATATTTGCTTCTACATGGAGGGACCTGGAGAACTGTCATGGCGGGTGAAGTTAGCCAGCAGGAAGGAGAGCAAGCGACACAGAATGATCGCTCTTCTCGGTGAGACATAAACCTAGCAAATGCCCAAAGACAAGGAACACAGAGGACATGAGAACTGGTATCCCATAGGGAACATGGCACTTGAGGGGCCTTGGAGGGAGGACAGGGCTGGGGGTGACGTCTGTATTGGAGGGAAGTGTTCAACGAGGAAAAGAAGGTGGAGCTGCCAGAGGGTAGAGTGTTCTGGGTAAAACCCTATCAGAACAGAACTGTAAACCACAGTGCAAAAACTTACATTTTAAAGAAAAGAGCAAATAAGGTTCATAGGTATATGGTTGTTGCTCATTCAGAAAACTTTCTGTTGCCAGATTTTTTCCGCCTCAGACACACACACACACACACACACACACACACACCACACACACACACACACACACACACACTCAGTTCTCAGTTGTGAGTCATCGTTTAAAAAACTCTGATTTCCAACAAGAAAGTAATTGATTGTCAGAGGCCCCCAAGCATAGATGCACTGTAAGAACAAAACTTGAGTTAGGGTACAGGCTTCATCTGGACCCTTGTAGGCAGCCCACCCCAAACCTACAGGTCCCCCTCGAATGGGAGCTTTAGTTGTTCTCTCCTACTCTCCTTTACCTACTTCCTTCTCATTGCCAACAGACTCATACTGGAGGTGAAGAAAGTGAAGGGCCTAGACATACCTCAGTCCTGTCTATTCCACACAAATGTGCCCCTTCGGCCGCCTGTTGGCCATCCTACTGGCCCATCCAAGATCTTGGCATTTGATGTTTTTAAGTAAAGCCTCTTTGCACTCCTCTCCTGAGGTCCTGCTCGTACCCTGCCTTTCTGCTTTTGACAGTTCCTCCCCCTCCTCACTCCTTCCAGTTTCCCACTTCTTCCTATTCTAGAATGTTCTAGTTATCACAAGGCCACCCTCGGAGTCTTTCTTAAGCTTCGCAACACTGCTTGGACAGCAGTCCGGCCTGCAGAATAGTATGGGTGTGCGGCCAATCAAGCGATGATGAGAAACATTCTCTCCAACCTCTTCGTGCTTCGAGGAGTTGGTGTGTTTTGTAGTGGCAACCTTTATCTTCTAGGAAGGGTTCAGCTTATTGCAAGGCTGTTAGGTGCCGTACATTCTGGTGGTTGTCCCGGTCATCAGGCAAGGTTCTCTCTGACAGAAAGGCCCAGGTCTGTCTCTTTGTAGGCAGAGTATCAGAACAACTATATCAGGCATAGATGTTACCAAACAAGCAGGTGAGGCACAAGTATACATCCGTTCTTCTCTGTAATACTCCCCCAGACCTTCTAATGGCATATATCTTCCATACCCTACTAGCCCTTCCAGCTTGAAGAGCCTGGTTACCCTAGTGCCTAAGGATTTCTGTGACATGTCCCTTTTCTCCAGATGCCCTGCTTTTGCTGAGGAAATGGGACCTTTCCTGCTTGATTAGCTGAGGCATTCTTAGGCAACTAAATCAGTACGATTGTCCTAAGTCTTGTTTTATGTAGGTCTTTGATCCACACTGTGTATCATATGGGATCATAAAGAAAATAATTGAAGCATATAGGGAGAAGTGACTCTTAATTTAAAAAGGAGGTTTGATGCTTAGATCAATACACAAAATCCCTAGTAAGTTTCTGGTCATCCAGACAAAAGTTATCTCTTCCGGAGTCTTATCTGCATTTCTCCTTTCCCTAATTTTATTGGTGCTTCTATGGTCATTTGAAATCGCTGGTTCTCTTAAAGGTTGTACCTGTCATTTATTTCAATACAACTTCATTCATAGAAAGATTTGGAGATGCTCAAGAGATGTTACAAGGGTTAAGGTGCTTGTTTGCTGCTGGCTCTGGTTCAGCCCCTTAATACTGCATCATCCCCCAAGTACCACTGGGAGTGACCCTTCAGCACAGAGCCAGGAGTAGCCTTCCCTGCTTGATTAACTGGGGCATTCTTGGGCAACAAGATCAGTACGATTGAAGTACCAGCTGGTATGACCCAATTCTTTCCTCCCACCCCCCAAATAGAGGAAATTGAAGAAAGCATTTTTTTTTATTCCTCTATTGTATTTGGGGTTAGTGGAGGGGCAGGTTTGCAATCACTTTGGATCCAACTCCTCTTAGCTTATTTTTCTCTCAATGCCCTTGGGCCGGAGCAATAGCATAGTGGGTAGGGTGTTTGCCTTGCACGCAGCCTACCTGGGTTCGATTCCTCTGTCCCTCTCGGAGAGCCAGGCAAGCTACCGAGAGTATTCCGCCTGCACGGCAGAGCCTGGCAAGCTCCCCGTGGCATATTCGATGTGCCAAAAACAGTAACAGCAAGTCTCAAGATGGAAACGTTATTGGTACCTGCTCGAGCAAATCGATGAACAACAGGAGGACAGTGCTACCGTGCCCTTGATGGGACAAGAGCCTCACCATTGAGACCAGCACCAATCGGAAGCCACAGATGAGGGCCCTGGGCACATCTTCTCCACTATAGATGACTAGACACAGACTAACTGCAGCGCTTCCGTAAATCATGTTTATTCATCACCTAGAGTTAGTTTTCGGATGGCTGATGGTGAGCGCAGCTCTCCACTGCGTATAAATGCAGCACTTCCTTGCATCTTCATGCATGTATATTACTGCCACATGGTTATATTGAGATCAGAATCAACATCTCTCCCTGACACCCCCCACCCCCCAAAAAAATAAATAAAAATCGATGACACCAGTTATTCACGTTCATTCTTATGTGAAGAAAACGCAACAAAGTTTTCAGTGGCTGTACAATTTCACATTGTTGTTAAATTTCCTGAAAATTTGTTAGATGAAGCATAATTGCAGATTTCCTTAAGAACCATTGACAGATACTTAGCCTAAGTTATAAGCAACTCACACTGTGAAATGTGTGCAAACATTCTAAGTCTCCTTGCAGAAGAATACACTTCAGCGACACCCAATATTCATCCATCTTTTTTTGAATGAACAGGACCCTTCAAACTCAAAGCACAAGTTGGGGAAACTTAGTTTTTGCTACTTGATTTTCTTTCTTTCCTTCTTTCTTTCTTTTTTTTTTTCAAGAGGGTACTGTTGCAGGAACCTTCACCGGATCTTAGGGAGGGAAATAAGCCTTTGATAAGAATCATCACAGGGGTCTGCATTTTGAACGAGATCGTAAGCTCGATGAGAGATTATGTTGTATTTAGGTATTGGCATTGTATGATGTAAAGGGGATTTGATTTTTTTTCCATTTTTTATTGTTAGGTGGTCTATTTAGCGCAGCTGTGTTTACGCTTTCTCAATGCAAACTGTCTGAATACGGTGACAAGTCCCTACATAGAGAAGAGGCACTGCTTTTAAAACTCTTCTTGCCAAGTGCTGTAATGCAGGGACTGTGTTTATTAAGGTCCCATGGCAAAACTGACCTGAGGCAGAATCATGTATGCAAGGCACTTTGCTACTTCACCTTATTTTCAAAAAATAAAGGAAAAAAAAAGTATTTTTATGGGAGGATTTTGCTTGTTTTTACTATAGTCACATTGTTGCAAATGATTGAACTTTGGTTTTAAAAGTGTATGCTTAAATCATAAATGATCCAGTAGCGGAACTAATATTCTTGCCACATTTATCTTAAAAAAAAAAACTAAAAAATATTTTTATAAATTTATTTAAAAATATGGTAAAAATATTTTAAAAAATAAAAAATATTTTAAAAAGTGAATCTGGGGTCACAGTTTCAAAAAAGAAGGGGTGGTGTCCAGTGATTTTCCCCTAAAACATGCATGTGATAAGGGAAATTGCTGTGAGTTTAGTCACTTCAGAATCATACTGCAACATGTGAATATTGAGATGCAAGACTTAATGACTAGTTTTTGAGGCATTTTCTTTAGTGTTCCATCCCTTATAACTCAAATTAATGTTTATTACAGCTCTCTCATATTGCCAAAATATTTTCATGAATTTGTTTCAGAAGCAGCTTGTTCTGGCTTGTTTTGCAACTTTGTTTCGAGAAACAAAGTGATATTCAGAAGATTTTCCTATGTCCTTGAAGCATTAATTATCTTTTGTGGTGGGAGAGCTAGAAGACCTAGCTTTGTCTCAGAGTTATGCAGGAGAAGAGCATTCACACCCCATGCTCGTTTCCTGTTTCTAGATGGTCAGTAACGTCTTCTTGAAAAGCCTGAACTTTGGGCAGAGATTCATCTAGGATTTTCAAAGCTTCGCCTTTCACCCCACTCTTCTCTCCACAGATTGGCGAAAGACAGCAAGTATTAGTAACTGAAGAATCTTTTGATTCCAAATATTACGTTGCACATAATCGGTTCTACGAACAGGTAAGAGACACTTCCTGTTGCTGAATCTCAACCAGACAAGAAAGTATTCTGGAAGGAAATTGATTTCAACAAAAAGGCCTTGAAGAGGGTGGGTTGTGTGGGGGGTGGTCTTACTGCTGGGGTGTTTAAACTCAAGCCAACTAGACACCTTGGGTCTTCCCCAAGAAGACCAGCCTATAATTTGGTTTGGGCTTGGGTTTGGGGACCACACCGGTGATACTCAAGGCTTACTCCTGACACTGTACTCACTCCTGGCAGGGCTCCTCTCTCTCTCTCTCTCTCTCTCTCTCTCTCTCTCTCTCTCTCTCTCTCTCTCTCTCTCTGCTTGGAAGTAGGGAGGGGCAAACTGTTTGGATTTTCAGGTTTTGGGTATTTTATAATGTTTTTGCTTTACTCTGTTTTGGTTTTGTTTGTTGCTGTAGTTTTAAACATTCACCTACCTCCATTAAAAAATGCTAGGGCCCAAGGAAAAACAATGGGTTCACTGGACTCAGCTTGCAGGAACAGCTGGAGATCCACATGAGGCTTTTGCCCCTGAGACTTTTCTCTCATGGGGGACCCAGAGGGTTCTCCACTTTCCGACCCTCTTCCCCGACCCATCTACCCCCTCACTCTGGGCTACTGGAAAAGTGATTGAGTAGCCGGAAGGGACTCAGTGCCTCCAGGGACTGTGGCCCTGGGCAAAGAGGAAATGGTTCTGGCTGTCCCGTGTGTGGTGTGTGTGTGTGTGTGTGTGTGTGTGTGTGTGTGTGTGTGTGTGTGTGTGTGTGTGTGTGTCCTGCCCATCACCACCCCCATGACCCCAGGACTCTGTTGGGGGAAGGGACTTCCCTCTCTTGGTCTTAGAAGTCCTTTTGCATCAAGTGGTTTGCTGACATGTTTCTTTCTCATCAAATGAGATGCAAACACAAGGCATTGTAGGCCACACTGGACACCGGGGCAGGAAGCCAGCTGGCCAGCCTGTTAGAAATCGGGGTGGGGGTGTGGGTGCAGGAGCCAAGGAGGGCCCTCTGCATTGTTGCTGTGGGGGCGCTCAGGAAATCTGCAGTGGGGAGCTGCCTGAGGCTCAGACAAGACCCACCTTCCTGAGACTGCGGTGGAGGTGGAGAAGGGTGTACTCCTGCCTCCCACCTCTTTCTCTCGAACTTTCCTTGACTCCCAAGAGCCGTTTTCTCACCCGGGCCAGCCAGCTATATTGTGCTCTCCGATTCCCTCTCCTCTCCCTGGGCCATCTGGGTTTTCACCGCAGCAGGGAACTCTTTCCCCCCCTGGTTTTTAAAGACAGCGGGCATGCCTCATTAGCTGTTTCCTCCCATTTAAAGCAGTCAGGGTTTTTCCAGTGATTAAAACCGTAGGGGGAAAACGGAAAAAAAAAAAAAAAGCACTGAGCCCTTGGTTCAGATCAAGGCAGCAGATGAAGGAGATGGATTCCCCTCCCCCCCGCCAGAATAGCACCAAATCTCCCAGGAATCATTTCCTCTGGAGAGTTTCTTGTTTTATCAAAACCAATGGTGAGCGCTTATCACAGCCCAGACATGCGTGTTCTCTAACTCTGCCGCCTGGGCCATGTGTGATTCACCACCCAGCTAACCCCTTTCCTCTGCTTTGATGAAGCCCAGTGTTCAGAGGTGGTAAGAAGTCAAACTCAGACTAAAGCTGACTGTGTATCTCTTGGCTGCCCTCTGCCTTTTATTTCATTTCATTTTATTTTTTGTCTTTTTAACTATACATGACAAAAGATTTCATAGGAATTATTTCAAAGGAGATGAATTCCAGAAAAGAAGATTGTATCCAGATATCCAAGTATTGCTGGATTAGAATTAGATTATTTCTTTCTTTTTTTTTTTTTTTTTAATTTTTGGGTCACACCCGGCGATGCACAGGAGTTACTCCTGGCTCATGCACTCAGGAATTACTCCTGGCGGTGCTCAGGGGAGCATATGGGATGCTGGGAATTGAACCCAGTTTGGCCACGTGCAACTGCTGTGCTATTGCTCCAGCTTCGATTGTTTATTTCTGAGCCCTAAATTGACAAGTCGCTACAGCTCCAGAATAGAAGTTTAAGAGAAGACATAATGCATACAAACTCCCTCCAAGTCCCGAAGATGGGGGGGATGGAGACATTTGCTCCAGCTAAACAAGTCCTTTCATTGAATCTCTAGTGGAAAGAGACTCCCGATTTCCTGCAAAGTAGCCAGAATGCCCTTTAGAGTAGCCCATCTGCCTGGCGTTTAAACGAAATAACGCCTGCTTCCTATCACCCAGCAGAAGAAATGAATGCAGCGTTAATGAACAACGTCACTTAACACTTGACCAGGCTTTGGGATACTGAAAAGTTCACTTTTACCATCTGCTTCGCCTTCCCCCAAAACAGAGTCAGGTGCACGCACGAGCACGTGCACACGTCCACACCACGCGCACGTTTATCCGTAAACACACCGGGAATTGTTTGAAGTGTCTGTGCAAACTGTGCCCCCCCTGACAGCTCCCTGGGAAAGTCTGGGAAGGCTGAGGCTTTTATCACCTTTGTCTTCGCTTCCTTCTTTGCAGGGGACAGCCAGTAGCTGAGTAGTAGGGAGTTGGGGAATTTCTCAGCCTGCCTTAGAACAGCTGGTGTCTGCAAGGAAGAGGGCAGATCCTTACCCACCAGCTATCCCCGAGAGATTCTGCCCCTTCCCGGGGAACCCCAGCTCCCTGGGAGACAGCGCCCACTTTGACTCAGACCGAAGGGCAGAAAAGCAGCGTTAGGGCACAACCAAGGAAAATCTGAAGTGTGTAGACTCCAGTTCAGGGTACTGCATCAGTACTGGCCCATATGTGTGACACCTGGGGACTTCTTCCTAGTCCCTGTGACCACCTTATGGTGCCGTCATGTGGGAGAGAGCAGAGCCCTCCCTGGGGTTGTCTTTGCAGTTGTCTTTAGAAATAGAAATAATTTATCAGGGGGAAGAAAAAAAACCTCTAAGCTCTCTGACCTTTTTGCTAAAGGTTTTGGTACCCAAGAACCCTCCATTCATGGGAAAAATGGTGGAAGTGGACATTTATGAATCGGGAAAACATTATATGAAAGGACGGCCCGTATCAGACGCCAAGGTATACGCACCATCCATCAGCAAACCGTTAGCCAAAGGGGAGGTCTCCGGCTTACCTGAGGTGAGTAAAGGCCACTTCCTTCCCGCCGTGACTGGTGGGCCAATGGGAATTGTGTTCTGGGGGACCCCTCTCCTCCACCCCTCCTTCCCAACATGCCTAAAGCATTAATCCCTCCTGACATTGAAATTTTGAATTCAAAATGTGTGGGTGTTGGGGGTGTGGGCAGGGTGTCATTTGTTCATTTTTGTTTGTTTATTTTTTTTGCTGATGCGCTTTTGGGTCTCTGTCTGGAAAGGAAATAAACTGTTTATGCAGGGGGCAAAAGTCACCTTTCAGGTGGAAGAGCTAACACTGAAGATGATCTGACCCAGTCTGTTTCTCTGCATCCATCAATCCTGCGAGGAAGGGGCCGGGGAAAGGAATATCCCCTTGCTTTATGAAGCTGTTTATAATATAGTAAAATCCTACAGTTGAGTGGGCACTAAGCCGTGTCAATCTGCGTGGTTACGGGGCCTTTCTCCGGGGTGTTAGCGGAATATCTGCCGTCGGTGGTGTGGAGTGAAAATTAAACATTTCCCCCCCTCTCTCTCTAAAAAAAAAAAAAAAGAAGTAACCTGACCCCTATTTTATACCTTGGTAAATATGGCTGTTTGCCAAGCCCTCTCTTACATTTCATTGAGCTACAGTTGTAAAAGCTGATGGAGTGTGAAATGAAAATGTGTATCACATTTCTAAGCATCATTTGATGTCCTTTCTCCAACACAATTGTTAAGCATTCGAAAAATAAAATATAGCAAGTGACAACATATGTGGAGGGGGGCGGGGGATGGGAAATCAGGTAAGTGATAAGGGATCCAGCCACGGAATTCCAAGGTGCTTTAGTAGAGGTAGGATCTTGTCCCTTGACGGAAGTTTGCAAGGGCATTTTAATTAAACTTTGGGAATCGTGGCCACAAGGGAGCTGTTATCTGCATTCTCGCCTACCGTGGCAAGGGACCCCTCTCTCCCAAGTAGAGCACCTCTCGTGGGTGTGACAACTGCATGGGACAAGTTTCTCTGCTGGATCAGTTGCCTAATAACGGAAGGACACCGTCGCGCCGTTGTCCAGCCCTGCCAAATGTGTCATCCTGCCCCACCAGGACGGAAGTCCCCAGCCTGATAAGCAGAACGACTCACGTGGGCTGTCGTTGCCAAACAGAGATCATCCTTGGACACTGCATGGACAGGCAAGAGAGGAATGATGGAAATGGCGTTGAAAGGATTTTGCTAGAGATCTGGTTGGGCCAGCTAATGTTTCCAGGGACAAGGAAGGAAGTCGACATTTCTTTTTTCTTTTCTTTTTTTTTTTTTTTTTTTTTTTTTTGCTTTTTGTGTCACACCCGGTGATACACAGGGTTTCCTCCTAGATCTGCACGCAGGAATTACTCCTGGTGGTGCTCTGGGGACCATATGGGATGCTGGGTATCAAACCCAGGTCAGCCACATGCAAGGCAAACACCCTACCCACTGTATTATACCTCCAGCCCCAGAAGTTGGCATTTCTTTTCCTCTGCAGTATGATGGGCAAGGGCGATTTTCAGTGACCTGGGTGAAAAAGATTTCAGAGCCAGTGGCCGTGCGTGGTAGTGAAACATGATCATTCATAGCACATGAGTAAGGGAAGACTTGACTTTTATATTAGCTCCTGAATGATTGCATTTTTGTCTAAAAGGACACAAAAAAGTGTGTGTGTGTGTGTGTGTGTGTGTGTGTGTGTGTGTCGGGGGGGGGGGCCTGTGGGGGAGAGCATACAGGAAACCATTTCCATCAGAATTTTCTTCTAAATTCCCTGGGCTTTCCATCAGTTTTTCTAGAGTGATAAGCTCTTCCCAAATACCTTACAAAGGAATCAAACAAAATTGGGTGAGAAACTCTCCTTCCATGGAGCAGAAAGGGACCTCGGTGGGCCACACACAGGCTGTGCATGCAGGAACCCCAGGCTCAGTCTCCTGTGCACCTCTGGGTATAACTCATGAATACAGAGCCAGGAGTAGCCCCCAGGGGCACTTCTGGGTCTGATCAGGGGTCACCCCGGGCAATGCTCAGGGAGCCATTCACGGTGATGGGGTCTCGCAGTTTGCCAAAGCAGACACATGCCAGGCAAGTACCTTGCCTTCTGTGTTCTCCCTCTGGCCCAAGAACGTTATGAGGACTTAAATATGTAGCCCTATGCCACCGTGCCCTCACTTGATGACAGCTTTTCATGAAACTGGAGAGAGGCTGACAGACTCTGGTCGGGACCAGAACACGGGCAGGAGCGCTGAGCTCTGGAGTATCAGGGTCAGCCTCTGTGGTTATGAACCCGTGGCATCTGCTCTGGCACCTGGCTTCCTTGAACCTCATTTGTCGCCAAGTTTCTGTCGTCGAAGTACGTCATTTGCAAGAATCGGATTGAATGCACCCCCTGCAATAGGACTCTTATTCTCCAAAATGATTAGGTACTCAGCCTTCGTGATTTTCACCCCATAATCGGTAGATGATTGCGAACCACGATGGAGAAGGGAAACAATACTTCAGGAGCCCTCTCAGAAGTTATATTCTAACGGAAACAGCCTATAGAGACAACTTTACGATTATTACTGTTCATTGTTGTTGTTGTTGTTGTTGGCTTAAAGGAATGAAGGGAAAGAGGGGGACAATAGGACAAAAGTAAGACAAAAAAATAAGACAAAAGTAGTCTGATAATTTTTAGGAAGGATGGAGGCCATAATGCCGTTTCTCATTTAATTAGGAACATTTCTGCATGAGTATCACTTAGGGGTAATTTACGCCGGGCAAAGGTCACATAATCCTTATCCAATGGAAGCCATCATAGAGTTTAAAAGGAAAGTAGAACTCAAAGGAAAGCAAGATGGTGGATTTTTCTCTGGGTCATGATGTTTTCTCAGGCCGTATCCCAAGCCCTCAGCAACAGCGTAATCGGGAAGCTTACTGAGAGTGTCAAATTCTCAGGCTCTCACTCAACCTGAATGAGAAACTCTGGGATTAGGGCCCAGTCAATTGTTTTTTAAAAGTCAAGCTCTCCGTTCTGATGCAGGTGGCCACAGGAAGAGCACTTTTCTTAAAAAAAAAAAAATGATTCTTGGTTCTGGAGGAGTTTTTTCGGGTTGGTAAAAGCGTGTGAGTATTTTAACATTGCAGTGCCAGACATCCATGATGCTTACATTAGAAAGTGGAGTTGAACAATGTTTCCTCTGATGGGGTCCAGGATCTCTCACTGATGTGTCAATAATTCCTCGGAAGCGGTTATGAAAATGATGGGATAAAAAAAGATGTGTGTGTGTTTTGTGTGTGTGTGTGAGAAAGAGAGAGAGACAGAGACAGAGACAGAGAGAGACCACAGGAACAAAAGTTTGAGTTTTTGATATTAAGTTTTGATTTTAAGTTTAAAGATATTTAAGATATCTAATATTAAAAGATATTTAAAGATATTAAGAGCATATTTCTACCACGTCCTCATGTGAAGCCTACGTTTGCTCATGAAACCTTAATTTGTGGTAACATCCTATTTTATGTGATCATTGTATTATTTTTATTTTACTTCCTTCTGGACCTGCTTGTGCTCAGGACTTACTCCTGGCTCAGTGCTCAGGGATCCCGCCTGACTTTGCTCAGGGAGCCATTTGTGGTTCTGCAGATTGGACTGGGGCTGGCCACATGCAAGGCAAGTGCCTTAACCCTGCACTCTCCCTCCAGTCCTGCAATGATCTTCTCATACAGTTAAAGTTTCCTTGGGAAACTGCTCTGCTTTAGCATGCATTTGAGAAAGATCTCCACGGAAGCAGGACCAGGAACAGGGACCAAAGCCATGACAGTTTTCTAAGAAAAAACATGGGACCCATCAGCGGGCATGGGGTTCAGTTTTGCTTGAACTGAGTTCATGGAAATGTTCTATTTCACAATTTGTAACCACTGGGGGCTGGAGCGCTGGCATAATGCGGTAGAGCATTGGCCTCACACGCCGCCGGCCTGGGTACAATCCTGAGCATCCCTTAGGGTCCCCCAAGCACTTCCAGTAGTAATTTCTGAGAATCAGAACCAGGAGTAACCTTGGAGTATCTCTGGGTGTGACTCAAAAGAAAAACAAAATTACAAGCACATAAAAAATAGTAGAGAAAATCAGTCCCAAACCCCCTCCCCCCAAGTGTGACTCAAAGACAAAACAGACAACAACAAAGCAGAGACAATAGTAGAAGATTCCAGAATTCGAGCTCCTGGTCTCCCAAGCCCTGTCAGCTTATGTCATCCGTCTGCCTACTCAGTCCAGCGTCCAACAGTTTTTGAAGGGCTAGGTACCAGGCTTCTTCTTGGCTCTCTACTCAGGAATCACTCTTGGCAGGCTCAAGGGACCATATGGGATGCCAGGAATCAAACTGGGCCTGGCTGCATGCAAAACAAGTGTCCTACCCGCTGTACTATATCTCCAGCTGCAAAAGAAGAATCCCCTTGAAAACATCACCCAAGACTTAAAATAATTCACCTTGATTTTGGTCTACCAGAATCAACTCAGAGTTCTTGTTTTATAGCTTTTAGAACAAAGTTTGGATCAGATTGCAAAGAAGTCTCCTCACTGCAGTCAGCCGGGCTGTCATCGGGGTCCCTTTCGGCCTTGCCTCTCCCCTCTCTTCTTCTCTTGTCTCTGTTCCCTTCCCACCTTATTCATCAAGAAAACCCTGCGGTCTGTCCTGTGGTATTTCCCACAGCCTGGCATTTGCTAATTGCATCCTCTGCTCTGACTTCAGAGGTTGCTCTGTTCCTCGTGTGTTTTGTAAATCTGCAGTTAGATTTAGAAGCTTTAGCTGAGAGATGCAGGTTGGAGTTTGGGACAAAGGTTCCCTAATGAGGCCGTATATTTCCTCGTGAGGTGTGCTTGGTTCTCTGTGGTCTGAGGGCCTAAGGATGGTACCGGGATTCAGTGAATCATTAGGACTTGCAAAAACCAGGGCGTTCTAATTTCATCCTTCCTCCCTAGGGGATTAGCTTAAAGTACTCCTAGGCATAAATACTTTCTCTCACCAATT